GCACATAATTCTGCACAGCGTGATATGTAACACTGCCTTTGCAGAATAAATGTTCAAGGATAAATCTTGCATGACGAATAAATCACCTCGTGCTCTCCTTAGCTCTTTCAGGTGAGGCAAAGATATAATGTAGAGTCAACTAATGCGCAGACCTGGCAGAAAAATGGATCTTTTTTTTTTTTCCTGTGTAAGGCATGTCATCAGAGGAGATAGCTGAGACAACTCTATTATGGGTGCAATTGAATCAATAAGGCATATTCATTTTTTCCTCAGATGACTCCTCTGCCATTTCATAAACTCCTATTTTTAACAATGGAAAAGTAAGCAGATATTATTCAGTATAATATTTCATGTTATATGGTTCTCCTTCTCTGGCATGCTGCTGAACAGGCCAGCTTTAGCATTTTAAGAAGGTTCTTTTACATAATGTTTTCAATTAGGGCAGTGTAATTTTTTAAAAATCTACAACAATCAATTAAATAAATGAGAAAATAGAATGCTTGTAATTAAGATAATCAGGCTACAAGAAATCCACCATACTAGTGCTAATATCTGTATATCTCCAAGCTGTATATTAATTAAGCACCATGTAAGTGTTACAATTAGACCCAGTCTGCTGTGGTGAAAATGACAGAATACTGAAAATGACTGTATGTGAAAACTATGCAAGTTTGCTGTGTTGCTGCAGACACTCTTGGGATGCCTGAGGACTCTCTATCAGGCTTTAGCTGCTTCTGAAACAGGTCCCCAAAGAAAATATGCTTTGGTTTCTAAAAGCTACATTTCTTCTCAGGAGTGTGCCGTTATTTTCCCCTCAATTTCATGAATGAGTTTGGGTTACCGAGCTCTGAAACCAGTAGTCAAAGAGGTTTGACTATTTCATTCTACACAGGAAACTGAAAAGGGGAGAATGTTGTCCTGCTTTTTATGTTCTTTTGTGGTTTTGTTTTCATGTGAAGATCCTAAGGTCACCCAGGCTTTCCCGGTCAAAACAGCATCTCAATATATTTGTACTGGGAGACAAACACTACATGAGACTAATTGGATAATCTGGGTGTATTCAGATTGTGATGCTTTTAGGGGGCTTGGAGAAACAAAAGGCTCTCTCAGGGTCAGCGTGTGTGGCTCCAAGAGGCCAGGGGAGGACCCCTTCTCTCTGTATGGGTACCCTCCCAGAGGTCACATAGCAACTTCAAAGTGATTTTATTGCAGTTTTACGAGATGTGGGTTTGGGGACATTTTGTGCTTTCTCTTTTTCTCCTGTGTGTAGCTTTTGATGGCTGCAAGCATATGCATTAAGGTACCATGGGGGCAGCGGAAGAATCGTGTTGCAGGAGGGAGTCAAACAGCTTTGGCACACCTTAGAACTGCCGGACTTCGACCTTCTTAGCTGGGGATGCCAAAGCAGCTGAACAGTGCAAAGAAGATGATGAATCTATCTGCTGATTTGCAAGATATTGCCATGGCTATTTTTAAGATTCTCTGGTGTCAAATGAAGTGGTACAACTGATTGGTGTGGACACCAGCTTGATGAAGTTGTTGCACAAATAATGAATAAAAGTAATGTTTTTGTTGTATTTATTTTTCCCAATTAATTTTTTAAAATCTGCTTTTACAGCACAATATTCTTCCTTATGACAAATGACCCTACTCACTGGTATTGCATGTTAAGATAGTACCATTTACATTTCTAGAAAGGAATGAAGAAGAAAACTTACAGGACACCTTCAATTTTTCATTGATTTTGTTCTTTTTTTTTATTATTTGACATTGATACAAAAAAATAGTATCTTGATGAGTAGCTTTGTTGGCAATGCCACAAAACTGTAAATAATGCTTTATCTAAAAGAATGCACTCCTACAGACACTATAGATAAAACAATATATACAATTTAGACAAATACATAAGTACAGCCAGTCATATATAATGATACACCTAAAGTTTAGTTACTGTTGACAAGCTTTTCTAGTTAATTACACTCTTCATTTACAGATTGTCATCTACATTATAAACATAAAAGAAATCTCAATGAAGAATCAAAATTGATACTTAACATTGTTATTAGGGAAGATAGAAAATGAACCTTCAGAGTTCTATTTAAATACCGTCATGGTTTTAGCAAAAAATGCTTTTGTGAAAAACTCCTAAACAGGGGCATTTCTCCCTAGTTTTCTTGCTCAATGTGCTTTGTTCATGTAATGTTTGAAACCAAAATGTGTTTATAGTCCAACTTCTAAAGTGACTAGAAGCATGTCAACCAAGTTGTCATTTGTCCCAGTGACAAAATATTACCTTTAAGTAACATAAATATTTATTTTGATTAAATGAAGCTCAATGCAAACACTTGCTTGTTTACAGTACCCCATGTGGTATAAATACTACTGTGTGGAAGGGACAGTACAATGTCCCTGAGAGTAGATGTATTGCTCCCTTTCTAGCTCCAGGTTGCAATACTGAGATTTCTGAGTAAAGAGAAAGTAGTATGTCTGTTATGTAAGTGTAACAAGATAGCAAAGTCTTGTATCAGAAAATTAATAGATGTAGAAAATTAGTTTTTTGTTGTGTTTTTAAACTCACTTGATAATAAAAGAAAAAAATCTTGTACATTCAAAAGTTAGGGCACACATGCTTAAGGCTCTTGAAACACTGGACAAATATAATGCCTAACAGCTCCATGCGTAACAGAATACTACATAGTAAGCAGACTTTACACATATATACAGCTGAATACAGAATAAAATGTCTTAAATATGTACATCAGTTTCAAGGTGAACATTTACATTTCTGTTGAAGATCTATTTATAGATGGCAGGAAATATATTTTTTTCAGACGCTATGTTCAGGGTGTACCTCCCAATTGTTAATGCAGTCTACTTGTATTAGAATAATTCAACACTATCATGCTACTTGAGCCCTGAGGTATCTGGATTGGGAGCCCTGCTGTCCTCTTGGTTACTAACCAAAGGCCACAAAAGCATCAGCAGAAGAAAGGCCACCAAATCCATTCAGTTGTGGATTCAGAAACCCCAAATTACTGTGCAGTGCAGAATTGATTGCAGCCTGTGGACTGAAATGATTGTAAAGTATGTTCCCAGTTGGATGTCATCCATGCTGTTTGATTTACCAAGGGGGATGAATTCCACCCTTTTTTCCCTTCCTAAAGAAGTATATTCTGGGGACTGGGTAAGGAAAGCTGAGCTTCATCCAGTCAGTGTATGTGTGCTATATATTCATCTATGCAATTAGTTGGAGCTTGTTCAGCTAGAGTTTTGAGTTTGACATGAAGCAAGAGCAACTTTAACAAGGACTAGGTCAACTAGGGAAGGATAAATCTTAATGCTGCAAGAGAGTCAGTATTTTTATATAAAATTACTGATTTTCATTTATGAAGGGCGCACAAGCTCCTGTTGATGAGCAGTAACTCCTGGGCTGTCTGTTTTGTAGCTTCACCTTTAGTTCTGAACTGCATTTGTTTGAAGCAGCTAGTGCTTGTGGCTTGAAGGCCAGGTACACTTTACCTTACAAGCAGTGCTTTTCAAAGTGGCTGTGCTGCATCTGTGAACAAGGCTAGCAATTTGTGATGAAACTGCAAACCTTTTGTGTACCATCTTCATTCTTCTGTCATTGTTGCTAGATGCTATGAATATCTGTGGCAAAACCAGGTCAGAGTTCTCCTGTAAATTCTTCCTCAGTTAATCTGTGACAACTTTATAGACATCCTGAATAACAGACAGACAATGTTTTTTCATGTGTTACACATAATGCCAGCCGAAATTTGGGGAGTTTTGTATCTTTGTAACTGGTCTGTGAATTCTTCATTCTAATTTATTTGCTAAGCAACACCATATTTCAGCTCTTTGTTAAAAGTGGTGTTCAGTGGAAATGAATTGAATTTATCAAAGAATTTTTCCAGGAAATATTTTCCAGGAAATTTTTGTGACACTTAACATTCATATTCAAAACACATAAGCACATTATACAACTTGAATGAAGTCCTGTGTATTTGATTTGTGTTGCATGCTCTGGGGATTTCTTGAGCAGGACCTTAGTGAGTATTGGCTCTGTGATGAGTAACCTGGGAGCTGCAGATTTGTAACAAAGGCTAGAATTTGTTTTTCTCTAATAGGTGATTTTTAAAAGTCCTGTATTTTGCTGTGAAAGTTACATGTAATTTATGTACTCTGTTTCCCGGTCAACAGAAGATTGACTGTATTCTTTTATTGGACAAAATTATAGTTTACTACACTATTAAAAATCTGGTAGAATCTCATTCATATATATACTGTAGCAAAAAGTAGAGTTTACCTTTAAAAAGCTGGTTTTGTGTTACTTTTTTTTAAGTAAATATTGCACTGACTGTTGTTGAAGAAATATACTGCTATCGACACTTTTATAATTCCATATAATTATATATTGCTATGCAAAACACTTGAGAGACCCATTGATACTAATGAGAAATGTTGCACTTGCTTTGAAATTAAAAGTCTAATGCTATTAGTACTTTCCTCCTGTATTTTTAACCCCTTGTCTCATTTCATGTACAGAATCTGCTTAATTTTAAACTTCTACTACATCTTTCAGGGGTTACTTTAGGCAGAAATGAGGAATCTGCTGAAATAAAGGAATACCATTTGGTGGCTAAAAATACACTTCACTATATGCGTTTGTTTCTAAGGCCTTTGAGATGTTCATGTTTTTACCTATCTAAATTCTGCTATTAAACTATCAGTAAGCTGTTTGGGAATTGCACACATTATACCATAAAATATGTGTCAAGGTCAATACAAACATTTATTTTATTTTTTTTTTATATTTTGCTCCATTTATTAACAAAGCTCTACATAGAGATGGTCATAGGTTGTCAAAAAAGGAATAAAATAGTGTTTGTAATTCTTTGTTTCTTAGGGCCTGAGCCTTGTCTCAAAGGTTGGAACATGAACTGTTAAACAGCTTGTAATAGTTTATTACTATCTTTTTACATACAGATGCAGGAACTGATATGTGTGAGAGATGTTAATACACAAAATCTGAGATTTGACTCTAGATCCTTTCAGTTGGTATAATGTCCTTATGAAAAGAGCCTGAAGTCTATAAACCAGTAGTCAAAATAAGAATGAAAAATCAGTCATTAAAAATCCTCACAGTTAATATCCCACAGTTTAACCTGTAAATCAGCAGATCACTTTTTCAAAAAATAACCAGACTAAACCAAATTTTTTTTTTAAAAAAAGAGGTATTTACATCTGTAAAAATCTTAACATCTAAGATGTTTCTTGCTCGACATGTCATTCCAAATTCTGTGCATTTCTTCTGGTGTTATCTGGTGCACTGTGATCACCCTGCGGTACCTGCACAAGCTGTAGGCCATTTTCCAGTGATTGAAGCCACTGTTCTGGAACGGGTGAATGCCTAGCTTCCGAAGACAGAGTCCAACGTACACATCTTCAAGATGAAGAAGTCTGGTATGAAGGGAGGTTTTGTAAATCAGTTCTGCTACATCAGCTGAAAAAATGTAGCCAGTGCCTGAACAGAAGGGTGGGTAATTGCTGTCAGGATACAAATCTCTCGGCATGTACCACTTACTGCGAACATCTCTTATTGGTCCTCCATTTATAACGTAACCGGTGAAGTACCTTCTTCTTGGCTTTGTGTTAGGTTTGAGCAGCTTATAAATAAGATTATCCATATTTACAAAAATATCACTGTCTGTCTTCATAACGTACTTTGCTTTTGAACAAAACGTTGCTACCCACCTCATTCCCATCAACGTTTTCAGAGTGAGGTTATGATAAGAGTCAATAAAATCCTCAACAATAATGTCATGAAAAATTTGGCTTTCTTGCTCTACCATTTGATTTAACACAGGATCTGTATTTTTTCCGAGAAGAAATAACGTGGCGATTTTAATTCCTTTAAAGTTGTTTTCATCTCCCCATGTTTCTCGAATGGCTTGCCTTGCATCAAACTCTTTGTGAGTTGTGCTGATAAGAATGACCAAGAAAGGGATGCTCTTCTCACATTTATTTGGTTCATTGATGAGAAAGTCAAAGGAATGTGGATTTATAGGTCGAGTTCTTATATTGCCAAAGGAAACATTTTTTCTGGCTATGGATACGCTACTGAACTGCCTGTGACTAGTGTAGGAAGCCGTAGGACGAGTTATACTTAAGTACCAAAGAGCGCTTGCCCAACAAACTACTGTCAAAATGTATAAGCATGAGACCTTTGAAGCCATTGTTCCTCTAGCTCTTCTATTCCATGCAATGAATAAATAGCCTTTGTACCATGAGCACAACTATGTCCTGGAGAGGCAGCATGTTATTAATGAAACTTGAAAGTTCGATACAGGAAAGTAACTCTGTAATCATTCATGGATCTCAAATAGGAGCTGTTAAACCTGACACTCAGCTTTTCTTCTTTTACTAGCAGCAGCTTCCATTTCTTGGAATTTTCTGTTATTTCTGAAAAATATAAAGAAAAATTTTCCATTGCTAGATCATAAAAGCATAGGGCAAGAAAAATGAGCTTAAATATGACTGGCCACTAATAATCTAAGTGTCATAATGCATTTCTTGGATGTCCTTTTTTTTTTTTCCTCATGAGAGAAATACAGCACAAGATAGTGTACTAGAATATAGCTGTAAAAAACTGAAGTAATGCTTTTATGAACAATAATTTCTCATAGATGATATATATAGAAAAGGTAAGCATGCATAACATGTTGGCTATTTAGGTAATTTTAAAGGTATGTGAAAATAGTTTTCTGGTTTCTAGCATTTTTTTTTGCTTCATAGCATTTTTTTTTTTTCTGGACTATCTTATAAAATATGCCAAGGAACACTTTAAAATTACTTAAAGAATGAAAAATTGTGTACTTTAGAATTAATAGCATTGGTGGCAACAGTACACAAGTACCTACAAATCTTATTTGGTATAAATGTTTTTAATGCCTGTCCTGCTAACAAGAGCACTCCTTGGTGGAAATCAGACAGAATGCGATGGATTGGTAAGGGTAACAGGAGAGAAAGATACATATGGTATCTTACCCATGTAAAGATCAGGGCCCGAGCAGACTCCGTAGAAGTCTAGAAATAAATTAACACAGTTCAGTTATTCTTGTTGGCTTCCTTCTCTCTCCCCAAACCAGTCTTTACTGTTAATGAGCAAACCTCGTTTGTATACCACATAAGATAAATCACGATAGCAGCCTATGAATGGTGTCACTTTGCTGGCTGGCATGCAGAGCACTTGCCTACCTCACTGACCTTCCTAGAGCAGCAGCCCTTCCTTGCTGCTGTGCCAGTTCTGCCTCTGGCACTGGGGAGCTTTGAGGCTTCCCTGGATCTGAAGAATGTGGCAGCCCTGAAGCTTCCTTTGTCTTAGCATGTTTCCTGGGAACTTGTTCTGTTTATCATCGTTTCATGGAAATGAGACAAGCTGCATTAAGCCTGCCAGATCAGTGCTGACTCCTCCAAGGCACACCAGTAGCTGGAGAGTAACTGTAGGTTCCAGGTTCTTTGGTTTTACTATCGAATTGCTTCAGAGATAAAGGATAGTAGAAGCATGTAACAGATAAGCTTTACACAAGTATCTTTGAAATATTTAGTATTTACTTTAGATAGAACAAAACATAATTCAGATAAAAACATAGAAGCCCTGCTCTTAGAAATGTCCTTGCTGTTTCCAGAACAATTGATCATTGCTTAGATAACACCAAAATGCTTGTTAAGGAGCTTGTGACTCCCCCATGTTGGTTATGTATAGTTTCTTTTTCATTTCTCCAAAAGCAGATAAGAGTGTGGCCCTGGAGATAGCCCCATGACAGGGTGTCCTGCAAAGTGGTCTGTTGCTTAGGGCTTGTGCAGAGTCTTCCTCCAGGCAGGATATGAGAGCTATAGGACTGCTACTCTGTCACTGTTTCACACTGAACTGTAAAAATGGCAGAGAAACAATGTGAACATTTGTCAAGTATGTACAGACTATAATCTATAGATTCTTACAGCTAGCACTGTCCTGCTAGTCTTAATTACACACACTTTCAATTATTTAATGACCAGACCCACATACCTCTTTCCCCTTCCATGAACTAGGATAATGTTAGTTTGTGACCTGTTTCAGAGCTTCATATGTTTCAATTGGTTTTGCCCTATAGTCAGGGCGATTTAATGAGATAGAGGTTGACTGTGATCTCCTTCGCTACTTGTCACAGGACTTGAGGTTTTTTGTCTTTTCCAACCAAATAGCAGCAGTAAACGTTTGGGAGCAGCGTATTTAAGTGAGGCCCTTACTTGCCCCATAGGGCTGTAGAACATAAAGACCTTGGTGCATGTCCATATTTGGAAATAAACACAGTTGTGATGCATATATACACAAATGCTACTGTAATGTCTGGAGAGGGGATTTGTCATGCTGTAAAAACCCACTGTGGTCACTGGAATGCAGTTCAGAGAACGGCAAAAACACATCCCTCATCTAGTAGATCGATTTCCTTCTTGGCTTCATTGTGAATCTCTGACAACCACCCCACTGGAAACCCCAGAGGGGAAAGCACCACGTGTGAAATGCTGTAACATAATGAAAGTGTAAGAGCATAAAGTCTAGAAGACTGTGTTAAGAAGTACAGCAGTCATAGACTGGAGCTGTAAAAGCTATGTAGGTCAGTGTATTTAAGGGGCTCCGGCATTAAGTTCTCACAAATATTCTAATATTCTGCATATGATTAATTATTTTAGGAAGCTATGCGTTGCATTCTCTAAATTAGCATATAGTCTTCTACCTTTTTTTTTTAATAAAGGCAGGTGTATTAGTTACCATGAGTACTGTGCAGATATGAGGGAAAGGAAAATTGTAACCAGTGCTTCTTACAAACTGCAAAATTGCATAAAATCACTTTTCAGTCCAGCAATGTCATGGCTGTGATGTCCAATCTTCTTCTGTCGTCTGAAAGGATTAGAAGTAACAAATCCTTAACAGTATTTTGAAGAAAGATTTCAGGCTATTAAAGGGAATATTTTGCTCATTTATGAAATCTACAGGTAATTGTCCAGGATTAATATTTCACACTGGCCCTTGGATTGCCTTCTCTTGAAATAAGTTTTATCTTTTTCTGTTGTGTGCTTGGTTTGGTTTTTTTTTTTTTTTGTTTGTTTTTTTTTGTTGTTGTTGTTTTTTTGTTGGTTGGTTGGTTTTCCTTTTTTAAAACAGTTTGGATGGTATTCTTCAGTGTGGTTTCTTCAGGAATTACCATTCCTGTGGTAATTTTTGAGCTAAGTGCTGGTGAAGTTGTTAAGAATGGACTGGCTGCAGTTTTCCTGACAAGTGGAATATTAGATTTAATTACTTTTTAGGAAAATTGAGGGGAAAAACAAGAAGAGAGCTCCCTGTTTTTCTGTGATGGGTGTCTCTACTGTTCCTACTCTGCTGTGAAGTGACTAAGTGAAGATTAAAGTTTATGTTCCTGCTTTGTCCAAACTTTTTGCTATATATGGGAGTAGATTTGGAAGAAAATAGCATAAACAAAATCAGCAAATAGTGCAAATACCAAATAAAATTTGCTGAGGAATCTTTGTTCGCTATTTTAGCTGAGATTATTGTCACCTTCAGGACTGTTTTTCTCACTCTTTGTAGGAACACAGAGGGGGTTAGATAAGTAGCTATGTCACATGTATATTCTCAACCATCCAGCAAATCCTCCTACAAATTATTTCTGGTAACATTGTTCTGCACAGTAATTCAAATTATGTTTAGCTTGCATAAATGAAATCAAGCAAATATCTTGATTAGGCAGGGAAACATGAACTAAGCAGTGAAATACCTGTTTTGTGATGAAGTAGTAGTCAAGAATTTCAGAATTTTCTGTTATTAAAGACAATGCAAATTCACCTAGGACCTAAACAAATGCCTACCTTAGGCTTTCCTAGAATTACTCCTGTGTTGAAGGTATCTTGCAAAATTATTCACAGTATCAAAGTCTGCAATAGTAAACCTTTTCCTTGTCATGTGTTGTGACCTAAGACTAAACTCTGTAGCCATGCAGTATGCAGGAATTGTATATCAAGAATGTGGGTTACAAGGAATGAATTCAGGGTGTAAAATTAATGTGCTCAAATTATATTGTGTTAAAATGTTTGTGTTAATTACTCATTTAGAAAAGAGGAGAAATAAAGGATGTGAACTAAGGAGTCACTACTTTCATCTAAATAAAAACTGAAAGCACTTCGATATTATTGTGATTCCTTTAGCAGTTTGCCCAGAATTTCTTCAGAACATTTTTAACCTAGCTAATAGTACATATATCAAAAGCTGTCTTAAATATTAAAATGTGTAGCAAATTCATTATTATAATATGTTTCTAGTCCTGATACAGGGTTCAGTGTATTGTCACTCTAAGGATGGGTTGTGGTGTGTTGGTTTGTTTTTGGTTCTTTTTTTCATGATGTTCTTGAATTTGGTTTTGAACTTTGAAGACCCTCTAACAGCAGGATATGAGTTGTCACAGGGACAGTGGAAAGCTTTTATCAGCTTTGAATTTTTTCTGTTGTGATAGGGTATGTCACATTTGGGGACATTGGCACAGGCAAAGGGAAGTGTCTCCTCCTTTGTTCTGTGGGGTGAGGGAAGATTTTTTAGCAGGGGTAGCAGCAATGATAAACTCTTGGATCCATGTTTTTAAAAATGTTTTAATTCAGTCTGTCCCTTTCCCCAGGCTGCCATTCATAATGTCAGTAAGCAAAGATTCAAGTTTTGCTGGAGTAGATGATTTTAAAAAGCAAATGTTTACCATCATGCTTCCATATTATGACTCAAAGTTGTACACTTAATTGCACTATTCATAGCTCGTGCTGTGTAAGCCAGAGAAATCACCCAGTCGGAGCACATAAAGCAGTACTGTGTAACTTATATAAGTGACCTGATGGAGTCTGAGTATTTGCAGGAAACCTTTTATGAGCTGATGGCACATCAAGAATAATCCTCCAGATAATGAGCACATTTGAGAATCTTGCTAACTGCTCATAGGCAATTTTCAGGCAGATGTCAAATGAATTCAGTGAATGTTACTTGCCAGCTGTGGTATTTTGCCAATATTTTGGAACGCTGCCTCTGTTGAGAGGTGATTTGTTGTTTTTTTTTGTTTGTTTGTTTGTTTGTTTTTTGTTTTGTTTTTTGTTTTTTTTTCAAGAAAGTCCATCCTATGTAAGTGCAGTTGCATTATGTATCTAGATCATGGTGGATGCA